AATTTCAAGCTAATAGATTAAATTTAATATTTCCAATAAGCAAAATGCATTGCTGTATTTCAAAAACTAATTTAAATTTACTGGAAGGATTTTTTTTTTTTGCTAAAATAGCTGATTAGTACCTTTTTTTTAGTCATCTTTTATCACAATGTAATCCTCTTTATTAAAAAAATATTCCCAAAATAAATTATACTTTTCTGAAACTTTATTTCAGGAATATTAACTGATTTAAAGTATAATTAATCTGATTTGAAGCAAATATTATTTAAGTTCAAAATATTACAGAAAAGCATTTTTTTTTAACACAGCAGTAACTGTTTATTTAAGCTGTTTGACAGATTGATGACAGATTGATGCTTATCTAATGTTGTTCTATGGGGGTTTTAGCCATGAAAAATAATTGAATATAATGTGAGTGCCTTTTATATATAATTTTAAGTACTCAGTAATCTTAAAAATTTAAGAAAATATTCTCCATAATGTTTTATTGAATTTAGATACTTTCTGGCTTCAAATTTACTATAGTTATCACTTGTATTTTCTGATAATGTTGTGTATGATTATCTCCAAAAATCAGCACATTTAAATGCATACAAAAAAATTAAAAATTAAAAAAAATATTGGTGTTTAAGCTTTTCCATTTATGATTAGTAAATATAGATTTTACTTAATAATATCATCTAAAAAAGTGAAATTAATACAGAATTTTAAGATTTAAAACTTAAATTATTCTAATTAAAACTTTAAAAAATGACAATTGATTATTCATCGAAAAATATTTTTCTTAAGACAATAGTGTCATTAATATATCTTATTTCTAAAAGCAATTAAAAGCTTTTCTAATTAAATAATGTAATAGTTTTGCATTTTTTATTTTACAATTCAGAGCAGCTTTTTGGTAAATAGTGTTCCTGTTTGACAAAACAAATTGATGATTTAAATTCTTCAAGGAGTCTTGCTTTTAACTAATATATGAAGATGGTGAAATTTTAATTTTTCAAAATTTCACAAAATTCAGTAGGGGTAACAGATGTAAAAAAAAAAATATATTTTGACCAAGATTTTCTAAAGAAAAAAAAAAAATTCAAAAATAATTTCATTTAATTGTGAATAAACCAAAAAAATTTAATTAAAATCTTACATTTAATTTTTGCAAAAATTTCCAAAACCATATGTTTTTTACTGCAAAAAAAAAAAAAAAAAATTTCTATACTAATCATTGGTCCCCCGAGTTGATGCAAAAAAAACCCCAAAAAAAACAAGATTTTTAACAATTTTGAACCTGCTAGAAAGGATAAAAAAATTTAATAGAATAATCTAAAATATTTTGGTCTTTCATCTTCATAATAACAAACATTTTGATGATGAGACTTTGTTTTTATTAAGTTTGTGGCTTTTTTCATCATGGTATGCTCTTTTTTAGAGAATTTTTGGAGGTACCTAATTTAGTATTAACAACTTAGTTTACAAATTGTTAAATCATGCAGTAGAAGGGATTATTTTATGTTATGTTATTGAATTAGTATGAACCACTTTATATTAAGATGATGTTAATCTATATTCTTCTGGGTTTTACAGCCATATCATGTTGAAACATTGGTTCCTGTATGATCACCAAAGTTAAACAATGTCAAGCCTGGTCAGTACCTAGATGGGTGACTGCTTTGGGATGCCAGGGGCTGTAAGCTTAGATGTGTGGGTGATATAATGGTTAATAGCTCAGAATTGTTAATTGGTGAGCAGAGTTCCACTTCCAGTTGGGTTTGTTATATTCACTTATGTACAAATAGCCTTGGGAAGGTATGAATCCACATCTTCTTCCTCCAGCTATGGGTTAATTAGTAAGATTCGTATCACTAAATCAATATTATCTCTCCCCACCCACCAAAAAAAAAAAGAAAAGATTCTTACTATCAAAAAATATTTTTTGGCTTTAAATAACCTTCAAAGTTAAGCCATACAAAATGAATCAATGAAATACTGATTAGCTACACAGGCATAACTTTTAGATTTATTTACATTCTCTGGAATATAAAGGTATAGAAACTATCATGGCCACAAAGTGAGAGATCTGTTTATATATCCATTGTAATATAGAATTGATCCCCCACTTTATTGTTTATCAATTTCTGATTGGGTATAAATCTACCACTTCTCCCTCCAGCTATGGATTAAAACTTGTACCACTAAATCATTATTAGCTCTAAAATAAAATTCTTACAGTCTAAAATTTTCTGGCTTTAAATAACCTGTAATGGGTTGATAAGCCATAGAAAACAAATCAATCATATCCTGGTATCAGTTTAAATTGATGCCTTCTTTCTTCCATTTTGACAATTTTGTTTAAATTTTCACTTTCTAAATTTATAATTATGGTGTCAGTTTCACCTGATGCCATGAGGATATGGGTTAAAGATATTGATATTGAGGACATTCTTACTTGTCAATCTTTTGTTTGGCTTCAGAAAGAACAATATATAAAATGTTCTTGATAACAGAAATTATTTTCCAACAATATTTAAATATATCTGCAATTTTTTTTTTTAGAATTTATAATCTAACATTTAACATGATTCTTTTTGCTTCCTTCACTCATGCTAATACATTGTTAACTGCAAGCTTTTGCCATTTTTTCCTTAGTTTTCTATCTTGCTTCTAGATTTATCAAGGCTTCTCTTTTTCTTATCTGCTCATTTTTCTTTTATTCACTTTTTCATTATCTTTTTCTTTATCTTTCCATATATCTTCACTTTTTTTTATTTTTCCATTTTTATTTTTTAAGAATGTCTTGTAATTTCTTTGGCATCATGCTTCAAGGAAAGGATTCTTATTTATAAAGACTGGATTAAATCCCACTCACACAATAATGTCTCTGATGTTCAGCTAGTCCCTGAATACTTTTGTAACAAATAGGTCAGCTGCCTTTAATTTTCTGTTCTTGTGAACAATGGTATTTGTCATCAGATCTATGAATAATAATAAAATTAATAAAAAATGAAATAATGGTATAGAGAACCAAATTTGGTAGCAAGTCTTCAACAGCAATAAGACCTACAAACAGTGGTGGAGGAGGTCAAGCATAATGGCAGGGCAGCAACAACAGGTAGACAACAAGAACATTAAATTTAAGGCTCCAAGTTCTAGCTTCAGAGGATTGAAATGGATAAGATATTGGTTCCTAAATTTGGTGGCATAGTAATTATGAGTTCAATCTTTAAGCTAGGTTTTACAAACTTAAATTTGATAGAAATAAGGCAAGTAACAATTGAGCTGTACTCAAAAAGACAAAGCAAAAATAAGATATTCCTAGATGATGGCAATAGAATGAGAATGATCTACAAGTAGAATAAATAAAGGTTTCACTTTGAAATACTCTGATGGTTACTTTAATTCATAAACACCTGAAGAATGGTACAAAAGCCAAAATGGTGTGATAAAAAGATGGACATTAGTCTCATTGTATATAGGGTGATCAATAATTAGTGTTACAAAGTTTTTTGTCCATATTTATTAAACAATTTGTAAGTACTTTACAAAGTAGAAAAAAGCTAAATGTCCATAAACATATTTGATACACTATCTATTCAATATGTTCTCCTTCTGTCTCAATGACACTGGTGAATGTGACATGACTTGCATATGGCACAAGTAACACTTTGGAAGAATTTTATTCTATTCCTTCAAGAGTTTTGCCTTCAGAGACTCCAAACTGTAGTGGAGTGTAACAGAAACCTTGTTTTTTAAGATACTCCAGATGTTATAGTCAAGAGGATGAGGATGATGCAGGCCATTCTACTTTTGAAATGAATTGTCTTGGGACCCATGAGAAGGTGCTCAATCTTGTTGGAATAACCAACGTTGGTTTTTTAAATGTTTTCTTAGCCTAAAACAACAGGGATACCTCAAGAATGTTCTTCACATAATTTTCTTGGTTGAATTTAACACTTGGTGCAACAAAAACCAGAGAACTTTTTCCTGTCCCATTCACAGCAACCCACACCATCACAGAGGCTGCTACCTGTCTTTGAGTAACTCTCTGAGGTTTACTCTCTCTAGTTCAAGACCAAATCTGATTGTTCTGGCTGTTAAAATGCTGTTGAACATCAAATTTCTTCTCTTCATTGAACACAAGGTTTGGGAGCATGCCTGCCCGAATGTGCTTAGGGAGGACTTTACATCAGGCTCATCTGTTCTCTACAGAGCTAGCAGATAACAGCAGTTTCTTTTGATATTTGTAAAGAGATGTCTTAAAGTCTTTAATAGTTTCATTGGATACATTTGCCTCTTTTGCAAGATTTCTGACACCTCTTCAAATTTCTCCTCAGTTACTCCTGGGTGGATTTGATAAGCTCTGGGGCTCAAACAGTTCAAGGATGATCTTGTTTATTTTGTTGTATCTGTTGGATTTACTACTAAGACAAGAGTAAATGGCAGTGTTCACAAAGTAACATGTGGTAGGTGGTTCTCAGTTACATGGACCAACAACAAGAGACAATCTTTTGATCTTATCTATTATTGGACCCTTAAGATGGACTGTCTTTTGGGGCTCTACTGTTTTATCCATAGCGAAGAAGTAGATTTCTTTTGCAAGAGCCTTAGTTTGAAATGAATGCAAACTGTCCTAACTAGAGTTTGAACTCTGCCAATCCTTTCTACATGCTGTTAACCATTTAGTCACCCACAATCTGTAGACCTTGTGTTTTCTAATTCATAATGAATAGTTCTGTAAGCAATGAAATATTTAAGAATACAATTCCGACAATGTATGTCTGATAATGAGTAGTTAAGAGCAGAAATATCATTGAATTGTTGATTTAAGAAACATTAAAAACCATACTTGTTTTAGATTCTTGTCTGATGTTTACAATAACCAGGAAATTCTTGCTTATCTATAAATTGTTATGTTCTGACAGCAAAACTAGTATGTAATTTTGTCCATAGATTTTATCTTTCATATATTTTTTGATGAATTTGATGGTTCTCTTTCTTTCTATATATAGAAAACAAACCAGGATGTCAGCGAAGATCATCTGCATCAAATTCTACAAGAAGTCGATTTGAACAGGAATGCACAGGTGGATATTGGAGAGTTCTTGCAGGTTCGTGATTATTGACAGATATCATTTGGGAATTTAATGTGTGCAGGAAAAAAGAAAAAATTCATTAATAAAAAAAATTAACACCATAAAAATTTTCTCCTTCAGTTGATAATTCAGAATGATGGCAATTTACAAAAGGATCAATTTTAAATAAGCTATTAAAAGAAAAATTAACTTTGAGATTCAAGATTTTAAATTTGTATCCAGATTCAATATCCCAATTATATATTGGTGTTCTCACTTGATCATCAAAGCCTTTTGAAAGAGTAGAATGCAAATATATTTTAATACAGAATTCTATGGAAATGTTTTCTTTTTTCTCATATTACATTTATTATTTTATCAAAACATTTTAGAAATATCTTCATATCAATAATTATACAAACATTAATTTTTCTTGTCCTCCATTAGTTTTTCTATGTCTGGATCTCAAGGCAAGTAACAGCCTCCTATGGCGTATGATTGAAATATTACCCTTTCCCCTTTCATTAATGTCACTTTCTACACACTTTGGCACAGGACCGTGTTCTGCTTTTACACTTTCATGTAATTAACTATCAGTTAAACAAGCACTCTTGCAGCTAGAAGCACATTATGACCTGAGATAATAAATAATAAAATGTTCTTTTGTTCTTCAAAGAAAATGGTTAAAGAAATTGGTATACATATTAAAATTAAATTGTTTTTAAAAATGATTTTATTAAACGATTTTATCCTGTTGAAATAATTTCTTAAATAATGCAATCTTACCTATCTAAAATTAATTTTAAATATTTTACTTTATTTTGCAAATTTGCTGAAATGAAGTTCAGTGGAATCTTCTAAAACAAAAAATAAAAATTCTTATTTCTTTGTGACACATTATAATTTAAACTTTAAAAGATGCCACTTTTGTTTACAATTTATGATTTGTATATTTTCTATTTTAGTTGATGAGTGCGCTGAAGACAGGAGCCATTTCCAACAACCGGCTGGCGTATGCTGTTCGAGACAGTTCTTCGTCTATACCTGTTGAACGAAGTGGAGGTGGCGTGTAGCCATTCATTTGTTGTATATCTAAACTTATATCTCTTGTCTGTTCTTAGGCATTTTTTCGGTGTTTCCTTTTATACCATTCCAGTGACCCTTCCCACTAATGTTAATACAAAGTGTAGGAAGCTGCTGTTTGTATACTCATGAACAAGGGATTTTGGCTGATATAAAAATTGATGGGTTTTCGTCATTATTATTCATGGATTTTATAAGACCATGAAAATCACAAAAATCTTCAACAGAATATCAATACTATCCCCTCCCCGTCAAAAAATACTAATGAAAATTAGTATAGATTCATTTTGACTTCTGGCAATTTAGAAAGTAGAGCATTTATTTTTATCTAAAATAGTCTAAAAATAATCATTTTTTTCCATTTTATTATTTATTCATGATTTGTTGAGCATTTAAAAAAATTTTTTATTCTATATTTCGTTTTATTGTTACTAATATCATGCATTATGTAATGTTGGAATTTTTGTTTTAACATTTTCACACACACACACACACACACACACATATATATATATATATATATATATATATATATATATATATATATATATATATATATATATGTGTGGCTTGTCTTTTGTTTATTAAAATGCTGAAGTAGGGGCCCAAAATAATTAAAAATATATATATATATATACATATTTACAGCTTTTTTTGAGTTTCCAGAACCACACATTAATTGACAAAATGTCTTGCATAAGACATTCTATCCTCATTCTTCAATTGCATATTGGTGCTTATGGTCTTAGACATTTCAATATGCTCATCTTAATGCAGCAATTTATTATTATAAGTGATTTATTACTTTTTCTTTCGATTTAGCCAAATAATAAATTTTATATTTTGCCATTTTTCATTGGTTAGTCTTTAATATAAAATTAATATAATCAACATTTAATTTTTTTCTATACTCATAATCTAGACTTACAATATTTCAATTTTTTTTATGACAGTTGAATATGAAATTATAATTTAGTATTTTATTATCTGGCTATATTTCTGAGATGAGGTATTATGTATACTATTTACATTATTCGGACTATTGTCCTCATCTTTGTCACCATATTTATTACAATGTTTTGGTCGTTGTATGCTAGCGTACAACGGCCAAAACATTGTAATAAATATGGTGACAAAGATGAGGACAATAGTCCAAATAATGTAAATAGTGTAGTATTTTATTGTTACTTTCAAATAGTGTATATTTTATATTCATATAAGTTTGTGTGAGTGCTTTTCAGTAGGTGCTTAAAGAGGGCACTGACGTATTAAAATACAAGTGTAAGCTGAAAAATAGCTTAAATGTTTGATGTGTACATAGCTGTTGCCCTTACAGATGAGCCATAGGTGCTTTCATTTTTTGTTTTTATATTGTATAACCACATATAGAGATTTAATCAAAACTGTTTTATGGTTAGATATTCAACAAGTTATGACTTAATCAGTTCATAAGAAATGTGGTGTGCTTGCTTTTGAATAAATAAAAGTAAATTTATTGTAAGATCACAAATGTTATATCATCATTATAATTTCTATTTCTATTTAACTCTATTCTTATTCAATTTCAAAAAGTTTTACAACAATTTGTTTTGAGTTCTTGTTGATTTTTGCGTTATTGAGCACTTTCACCAGTTTAAAAAACGTTTTTAATTTTTTTCTTTTTCTGCAAGTTTTAAAACAAAGTAAAATGAAATAAATGGGTTTTTAACAGTTGGCTATTATTATGTAAAGAGCAAAGCTTGAATATGAGTTTCAATCTGAGTAGAAATTCATAAAATCCACATGTAGAATGAGTGAATCTATTAGTTGTTAGAAATTAATATGTTTGACTAAAGAATATATTTAAATCTTTTTAATTTAAATATAAGATAAAGATTTAAATATAGAAAAAATAAGATGTAAAAAAGTGATTAGAATTGGTAAAAATGAAATTATGGTGCCATTTCATTAGGGAGAGAAACTATTTTCTGTCTTTATTTTCCTACATGAGAATTTTTTGTCATCTTTCTCTAATTATAAGGTAAATTGCATTCCTTTACACACACACACACACACACACACACACACACAAAAAAAAACAACAAAACAAGCAATATCTATCCTTAACTTCTTAAGGTAAATCAAACTTTATACCAAAATCTAAAACTATAAAAGCTTCCAACAAAACTGCCTAAAACTTTTAATATATTTATTATATATTTTGAAAACTGAAAAAGGACAAAGAACTTTTCAGACTTCATAAAGTAAAAGACTTCATTAAAAGTAACAATGCAAACTAATAACCAACTTGTATCAGAAACCAAAATCAATAATAACTGATTAAAAAGAAAAAATCTTTCACCAACTGACCTGTATCCAAAACTATCACAGATCCACATATGACATCAGGCTAAACACAAAACAAACACAATTCAAAACCTTTATCTGGCTTTAAATAACCCTTTAGTGGTTGTTGGGCCATTCAACAGAAACAAAATCCCTTTTTTTCTCTTTCTTTTATCTCCCTCTCTCTCTCTCTCTTTCCCCTCTCTGTTCTCTTTTTGCCCTCTTCTTTTCTTGCTTTTTCCTTTTGTTTTTCCTTTTTTTCTGTTTTTCCTGTTTTTTTATTTTCCATTTCCTTTCTCTTTTTCATTTCCTTTCTCTTTTTTCATTTCCTTTCTCTTTTTTCATTTCCTTTCTCTTTTTTCATTTCCTTTCTCTTTTTTCATTTCCTTTCTCTTTTTTCATTTCCTTTCTCTTTTTTCATTTCCTTTCTCTTTTTTCATTTCCTTTCTCTTTTTTCATTTCCTTTCTCTTTTTCCTTCTTTATCATTCTGTTCTCTCTCACTCTTTTTCTGTTCTCTTTCTTTCTTCCTTCTCTTTCTTTCTTCCGCATCTTTCTCCCCCTTTCTTTTTTCTTTCTTTCTTTCTTTCTTTCTTTCTTCCCTCCCTCCCTCAGACATGCTAACAGCAGTTTACATCAGATTAGATTATTCATGCTAATCTTTGTCTATTATTCAATTTTGCTTTGGTAAATATGTTAAGTATTTTTTTCATTTTGCTTCACTCACTGTATAATAGAATATTTAAAGTATATTTCTTATACCAAAAACTTATTATTATTGATTTTCAATTTTTGAATGAAAATTTTTGTAAAAAAAACTGAAAAAATTAGTTTTAGTTGCTCATCTTTATTTATAGTAATGAATAAATGTTAGGACATAATGTTGAAACATGACCATTATTACTTGTTTTAGAATGATATTTTTGGTAATTTTATTTCAATAAAATTTGTATTATCATTTCTTGTTGAAATTTTTTGTATTTTAGAAAAGATAATTTATTCTTATAATTCTTTAGTTACAGTTTTAAAACTTTCAGTAATGTCCTCTTTTTATTTATTTTTTAAGAATAAAACTAGCCACCTCCACTTACTGAAAAACAGCATAGCATAATGAAAAAAACAAAGTTTTATCATCAAAATGTTTATTATTAAGAGGAAATTATTTTTTTAATCCTTTCTAGTATGTTTAAAAATCTTCTTTTTTTTTTTTTTGCATTGGCGGTAGATGTAATATTTACAATTAGTCATTCTGCCCTTTTTTTCGGGTGATAAAATCATTGATTTGATAATTCTTGCAAAAATTAAATAAGTGTTGAATTTTAATGAAACTTTCAAGACTTATTCTCAAATGGATGAAACTATTTTTGAAATTTGTTTTTAGAAAATTTTAGAAAAAATATTTTATTTTTTACATAATTTACCCCCCACACACACTTAATTTCATGAAGTTTCAAAAAATTAAATTGCAATCTCAAAATTTGTTTTATTAATTAAAACCAGGACTCCTTAGAGAATGTAAATAATCTTTTTTTTTTCTTTTCTTTTTTCAAACTACTACTCATAAAATCTGCTTCAAATCTTAAAATAAAAAATGCAATTAAACTATGGGATTATTTAATTAGAAAAGCTTTTAATTGCTTTCATAAATAAGATTTATTAAGGACACTATTGTCTTAAGAAAATTTTTTTTAATGAATAATGAATTTTTACTAGAAATGTTTTCAGTTTTTCAAATTTTAATTATAATAATTTATGATATATTAAATCATTTAAAATTCTGCATTACTTCAGTCTGGTTAGGTGAAATTGTTATTAAGTGAAAACTATATTTACAAATCAAAAAATTAAAAGCTCAATAAAAGTCATATACACCAATATTTTTAAAAGAATTTACAATTTTTTTATGTATATAAAATATTGCGTAACTTGCTCCTGTCTGAAAGTATGGTCGACCATACACAACACAATCAGAAAATAAGAGTGATCTTTTATTCTCTTTCTTTTTTTTTCTCTTAATTCCTAAAATTAGATTGTGGAGAATATTTTTCAACAATTTTAAGATTACTGAGTACTTAAAAATTATATAAACTTACCAGTCATTTTCTTAAATTATGTTTTAACAGAAAGTCTCCATAGAACAACAGTAAAGGTGTTGACAGATTAAGCACAAAATCACTGTTACCATTTGTTTTAAAAAGTTCATTTCTATGTTATTTTAAACTTGAAGTAATTTTTTTTTCAAATCAGATTAATTCTACTTTAAATCAGCTAATATTCCTCAAATAAAGTTTTGAGAAAGTGTATTTTATTTTTGGAAGATTTTTAAAACTGAGAATTAACATTTGTTTACAAAATGCATAAAAAATGACCAATTTTATGAAAACGAGGAAAAAGTTGAGATTCCAATCAATATAATTTCTATTTGAAATACACCAGAGTATTTTGCTTACTGGAAATAGTAAATTTAATCATTTAGCTTTCATAAAGCTAAAATGAAATCTTCAAGAATGCTTTTTCATTTGTAAAAATTAATTTTAAAACTTAGGTATCAAAAATCCAGTGGATGTACCTAAATATTATGAGTAATTCTTGCATGATTATTAACTTATTTTTAATGCCTGAGAAAAATTTTTGTTTAGTTGAAAATTTCTAATTTAAAGAAAAGCTATCATCAATAATTAATAATATGATGACAAAATAATTGATTATTTGTATACTTTATTGTATTTAAAAGAATAAGATGTATCATTTTATTTTCATTAGGTATTCATTTTTTTTTTTTTTTTTTATAAAATTATCTGCATGCAAAAAAATCTTTAAACTGTGATTGGGATAATTTTTAGCAAGTATCAAATGATATAATAATTCCATTAAAAAAGCTATATTTTTATAACTTATAATTTTTCTGATTAATATTGAATTAATCTAATGTGGATTCAGGTCAGTTTTTATGTTTCCACTTATAAATACAGTTATTATTAAATTAGAAGTGATAACATTCAACACTTATTGAAAACCAACCCAGAGTTTCATAATTTTATTTGTTAGAATAAAAACAAAAATGCTATTTATCATTTTTTTTTTTATTATAAATTGCTATCAACACTTGAATTTTAGACAGGGGTTTCACTGGAATGGTTACTTATGATTTTACTTACTCCTTTTTCACACTTGAGTTATTGTCACTAAACTGGTTTTAGTGCCTTATAATTTGACACAATTCTTTTGAATCACTCTTTCCTGGTAAAAATGCACTTATTCTTCTTGCACATTCAAATCTATACACTGAATCTCACAACTGCAATTTCTACTTTCTCTTTTTAATATGTTTTGTTATTTTTCTGCTTATTTTTTCTCAATTTCATGCATTCTTATAACTTTTCAGAAATTGCTAATTATCAGAAACAAATTGAATTGCTTTATAAAAAAGTCTTCATAATATAATTCTAATGTTATTTGCATGATTAATTTGATCAATAATTTATAACTGTATTTGCAAATTAAAAGAAAACATTTTATTTTGCTTTCAGTTATTCTTACCTGATTGTAATAAAGTATTACATTATTTGAGTATATAGAAGTGTTTTTTTCTATTTATAGTAAAAAAAACTAGAATGTTTTGAAATATTTAAAGTACTTTTGTGTTGCTTGTTATCAATTTGGTAGTTTATTTAGTTGATAAATAATAAAGAAAATGTTATCTTCTATATTATTTGGATTTCAATGGAAACCAGTTTATCATGATTTTGTTTAAATTATCAAACAAAATCACAGTTTAACATGAATGTTTCTGACATGGAAAAATTTGGTTATTTTATATAGCATTTATTTTGCTTTGTAAGTTTATTCATCTATAAGAATAAAGAAAAGGCCATTCTGATATCTTACTATATTGACATGAAAATCTATAACTTTTGTATGTTTAGTTACACATGGTGTAATATGTTGCTAGCCTCATTCAAAAACATATTTTGCCAGATTAACTTGAGATTAATATAACTGAGCAAAGAACTAAAAATTATTCTAAACAGAATAATTTTTAATTATTAAATTAAATTCCCTAAACAGGGAAGATGTTTAGATAAACTTATTTGGAAGTAAACCCAGAGTAAAGTCACATTATTCAATGTTCAGTCATATATTTTTATATCCTCTTGTTACAATTTTTCAGGTGATTGTTGAAATTAGATCATTACACACAACATTTGTAGATACTTTTTCTTTTTTTTTTTTTAAACTGAAAGAAAAAATATTTTTAAAATGCTATATTCTCAGAGTTATGAATGCAAAGATTTCTGTGATGACATTTGTTTTTAGAAAAAAGTCTTTTATCAAACTAGAACAAATTGAGCAATTTCATTTTTTTTTTTTTATTTTTTTTTTGTTAATGATTTTTGAATATTACAGAAATAGGTACTCTGTGAAAAACTCTCTATACTAAAGATAAATCAGTAAAGTGTTTAAGGTGAAAAATTATTAACTGTAATAATCTTTCAAATAACTTCAGTCAATAGGATTGAGCTTCAGTTTTAGAAGGGTTTCCAGATCCATTTACATGTAATAAATTGGGTTGGTTTTAAAACTTTCTTATATGTAGTGAAAGCTAGCCAAAATGACATGAGTAGCAAAATTAAAAAAAAAAAAAATAACCCAAATCTGATAAAATGGATTTTAAGGCATGCATATTTCTCAAAGAGGAAAGACGCATAAATGGTGATAACTTGTTACAAAGAATGTACAACACCATGGTGGAAGGAGTGCTTCAAAGAGTATCATAATGGTTAAAAAATATTAAATTTAGGAACCTAAAATTTTTCTATTTTTTTTAATTTATAAAGATAAAAATACAATTTTTATAATTGTTTTTTTTTTATGTGATTAAAGCAAAAACAAGCATAAAAACAGAATATTAAAAAAAAATGATCCCCCCCTTTATATTTGGCATCCACGTTCTTGCAACCTTTTTCTGACATTTAAGAGTTAATGATTACTTCTTTATAGGAAATGGGTTACAATTTTAATATACAATGAATAATCATTAGAGCACAATCTGATTAGGCATCCTTCTAAATATTAAGTTGTTGAGGATAAAAAAATACATGCTCTATGACAGCTAGTTTATTTGCTGAAAGATTTCAATGTTGTTTTGTAACAGTCATAGCAACATTAGGGTTGAGTTTGTTGTTAATTCATGCATATATAAAAAAATAGGTCATACCTAGTTTCATCCATCAATAACATATACTTGTACATTTTTTTTCCTCCCCTACTTTTATTTGTTTTTTTTTTTTTTTTTTTTTTCCCTTGTATTGTATAAAACTTAAAAGTTTCTGGTCTCATTCATTGATAAGTGTGTGAGATTGGTGGTGTCTGGTTGGGAAAATTGAGGTCATTAGTTTACTTCAAAGTCTTTGACAATTTCTCTTTACAGATGTTTTTATATAGAAATAAATTGGTGTTTTTTTTTTTGTTTTGTTTTTTCTCCTTTCAACCTGGCTACCAAATTAATATTGTGGCAGTAATAAAAAAAAAATTTAACATGTAACAGTGGCCATCAATAAATTTATAGCCTAATGATGAAAATAAGCATTTATTTTACATAAGAAATAATTTTTTAACATCCTCACCTGCCTTGTTAAAGCATTTATTAGTATTAAAT